TTTTTCCAAGCAAACCATAAATCACACTTCAAACATTTAAAGTGCATCATTCCTATCTGGATTAGAGTGTGATTTTTAAGGGACAGTTGATAAGAAAATGCTCTCTGAGAGTTTCTAATACAACCCCCCGCTCCCCCTTTATGAACTCTTATATGACTTCTGAGGATTGAACAACTATGAAAAACTGTTCTATCAACAGGGCCTATTAGGGCTTTTCCCATGCCAGTTTTCTGATGTTGCGCTTTTGAGCAAAACTCTACCGCATTTTATGCACCTCTATGGCTTCACTCGTGTATGGATCTTTTGATGCTTTCCAAGGTTTCTTTTTTGAGAAAAACATTTCCCACACTCCACACATTTGTACGGCTTCTCCCCCGTGTGGATTCTTTGATGAACCCGAAGCAGTGGTGCTGTGAGAAAACTTTTCTCACACTCCCCACATTTAAAGGGCTTCTCCCCTGTATGCTTCTTCTGATGCCTCCGAAGTTCAGCAGGCACCAGAAAGGTTTTCTCACATTCTGGGCATTGATAGGGTCTGTTTCCAGTGTGAAGTTTCTGATGTCGAAGTAGACTTGACTTGTACCCAAAACATCTCCCACATTCTGGGCACTGATGGGGTGTTTCTCCGGTGTGAATTCTCTGATGTCGAATTACATGTGACTTGTGACGAAAACACTTCCCACATTCTGGACACTTTATATTTTTATGCACACGCTTGAAGGGCTTCTCTCCTTTGTGAAGCCTCACATGTTTTCTAAGATAATATTTGCAATGAAAAGATTTCTTGCACTCTGGACATTTATATTGCTTCTCTAAGTGTGTTCTCTGATGCATCACAAGTGTACTTTTCCAGGTAAAAGATTTCTCACACACTGAGCATTTGTGGGGTTTCACACCCATATGGGTTTGGTAGTGACTTGTAAGGGTTGATTGACGAGTAAATGCTTTCCCACAGTCTAAACATTTGAACTTTTTTTCCCCTCTGTGAACATTCTCATGACTTCTGAGCATTTTTATTGTACGGAAAAATCTTCCACACTCAATGCACATATAGGGCTTCACCCCTGTATGGATACTTTGATGTTCAGAAAGATTTGACTTTT